GGTTTAGACCCGGCGTCGGGTGAGACACTGTGTGTTTGCTCAGGACCGCGAGGTCCTGGGTTCGAATCTTCAAGGAGTGGGGGTAGTGACGGGCCGCCGTTGCAGTACCTTTTGTTCTTTTTTCTTTCTTTTTGCAGGACCTGTAGGTAATCACCAGGACTATAGATACTATTTCCCCGTTTTTCTCTATTTCGTTTTATTGAAGGACTAGATAGGTCTACGGATTCTGGTGCAAATTCTCTATTTTCATCTGCTTAAATTTGCCTAGAAATAGTTATTCTGCTAGAATATATACTTGATTGCTTCTAAAACTACATGTAGGCAGTCCCGACGGCCAGAGAGTTGTTCGTGAACCGTGCGATATATAGTGTTGTAGCCCCGGCCGGTATTTTTTTTCTCTATCAGTAAAGACTTAACCAGGAGAGGGATACCCAGCACTCTCAACTGGAGGGAGCAGATCAACTGCCAAATACTCACGCTACATCGAGTCTCTGCTTCATGCGCTCCAGTCTCCTCTCCATATTCCCAAAATGTCGTCCCATGTCCTCCAGCGAATGGCCCTCACACTCAACTCTGCCAGTATCTGAGCCTCAGCATCAAGGACTGGACATTTCCCATCCTCTGCAGGTTCGCCGCCAGAGATAGATGAGAACGAGAAATGGTATTTATGTCTTTGACCATCGCCACGAGGTCAGGCTGTTCTTGCAATTGAGCAGCCATGTTTGAAACCCACGCTGCACCCCATCCACATGCCCTACTCAAACCGTAAACAGCGCCCCCCCCCCCCCCTCCTTCCCCCTTTCCGCCATCCTTCATCCCCAAAAAAGCTTCTAGGGTTAGGTTTCCCACAATTTCTGAAAGGCGGCAAAACTATCATTGACGTTAAGTGGGGGAACGGTCCATACTTCCACTAGGAGTAAAAAGGCTACAAAATAAGTCATAAATGGGTTTAATAGAGGCTGGACTGGTCACTGGTAGTGAGTGCCATGTACGGAGCCCGGGTCTGGTACTGGGGACTGCTTTCTGCGATTAGTGGATCGGTGGTTATAATCTCCAGAGAGGAGGTGCACGCCTCTTATATCTAGGGAGGCAAAGGTTTTTTTTTGTCTGCTCGTGGATGAATGTAAATACTCAATTTTGGGGTACTTTTTTCTCTTTCTACTAGCTATAGAGTACAGGGTATAAAACTACTTACTAAGGGGCCATTACTACGATGTCGTATAATCGGGGGGTATTCTACAAACATGCTCACAAAACTACACCAAACACCATACACCTACCATCAACTTACTTAAAACCCCATCACCAACCCATAAAAAAAAGTCTCTCTCACTACTCTACACCACTCCCTCCCTACTTCCCCCCTCCCACCGCCGCCGCCGGATCCACCCAATACCCCGACATCTCCAACCTCGCCAGCAACCCCGCCAACAACCCCCCTCCCCGCCCCCCCACCAAACACCGCCTCCACCGCCCTCCTCCCCTCCCCATCCCTCCTCCCATCACCATACCCCCGCTTCTCCGACAGCCCCCGACACACACTCAGAAAGATCCCCACCCGCCTCCTAAACACCTTATACAGCTCCGCCAGCTCCTCCTCCCCCATCCCCCCCGCCCTCCCCTCCGCCCGCTCATGGCTATACCTCGCAAACGCCAGCACAGCGACAAACACGTCCTCAACAAGCTTCATCACAGGCGCCTGCCGCTTCCGCGTCAGCGTCGCAAACATAATCCTATCCAACACGCTCTCATGGTACCCACGGAGGCGCTCCAGCCCCTCCGCCACCAGGTCTGCCGCCGCGCTGCCGCTGCCATCGTCGGCGGCGGCGGCAGAGAGCGCAGCGTCGAGCGCGCTGAGCTTCGCCTCAAACTTTGCCCACGGCGCGGCGACGCCGGACTCAAACATGTATGCTGCGAGCGTGGTTACAAAGTGGTGTGCATCGACCCTGAACCGCTGCGCGATGAGGGGCTGGCGGTGCCGCGGCCAGCGGGTGTCGCGGCGGGTGGCGTCGCGGAAGAGCTTTGTTGTGACGAAGAGCATGCGCTGGATGCGGAGGAGGAGGCGGAAGAGGCGGTCGTAGCGGTAGAGGGCCGTTGGGGTTATGATTGCCTCGAGCGGCGGGGGAGGGGTGTAGTGGAGCTTGAGGAAGTCGAGGGCGGAGATGGAGTGCGGGTCCATGCACTTTTCGAGGTCGTCGGGCGTCATGTCGCGGACGGCGAAGCTGAGGTTGCCCGGGAGTTCGTGCTCTTTGCCGGATGTGTAGATGCCGCTAAGGGGTGCGGTGGAGGACGTGAAGCTGTCGGTGAGCACGCCCATGAGCGCGAGGCGCAGCTCGGAGGAGCCCGGCGGCCAGGTGTCGCGTGAGCCCAGCTTGAGGCCCATGGTGCCGCCGCTGCGGTACTGGTTGGGCTGCTTTTCGGTGGTGTCGAGCTCGTCGGAGAAGAGGGCGTGGGAGAGGCGCGAGGAGAAGACGCCGTCGCCGAAGAGCTGGAAGCGCCGGAGGAGGCGGAGGTGCGAGAGGATCTGGTGCTCGCGGAAGAACATGCGCAGACAGGCGGTGTTGATGAGTTTTGCTTGCACGGCGAAGAGGTGCGAGAAGGAGAGCATGGGCGTGATGGAGATGGGCGGCGCGAAGGTCGTGAGATGGTCTTCGCCGCCGGAGTCTTCTTGGCCGGAGCCGCGGCGGGAGATGGAGAGGACGAGGTGCCGGAGGGCGTCTGAATGGGATGTTTCGAGGGGCGGCAGACGGGCGTTCATGGAGGTGACCGAGTGAGATATCATGCTTATGATTTCCTCTTTGCTCTTGCCAAACGTGGGGAATTCCTCGAACTTCTCGGGGATGTCGTCGCGGATTACACCTGTGGGCAGAGCTACTGAACCACCAGAGGAGTATTTCGAGATTGCCGTCTGCAGCTGTCTCTCGTAGTTCTTTGCCTGTGCCTGTAGATTCTCGAGGTCTTCCCAGGAGAACTTCCATTCCAGCTTTGGCGCTTGAACACCCTCTACTGCGCCAGGCTTGCTCAATGGATGATTTGGGTGAAACTTCTGCAAAAACCGCAAGCTCTTTCCACTCTCAAAGATCGTCTCCGCCGTCTCAGCACTCGTGAAGCTCGGAACCTTCTTCTTATCAAACAACTACTCCCCCGCATTAGCACCTCCGCACCACAAGACCAACGCCCAGAGTTTCAAAAAACACTCACAAAGCTCCTCTTCTTCACCTCCTGCCCTCGCTCATCCACCTCCATCTCCTCCTCCACCCTCACAAACAGGCCCCTCTCCACCAGGCCCTCAAACCCAATCCCCTCGCCCCCAATGGGCCTATCCAGCCCAATCCACTCCTCCAGAAACCCCAGCCACGGCCTCGCCACCCTTGCCAGCGTCTCCATCAGCAGCGGCTTCAGCCACCCGCTGCGGTGCTGCTCCTGCTGCACGACGTTAAACAGCCGCGTCAGCAGCACGGAGTCGTTCTTGGCCCCGGACGTCTTGGTGATGATGGAGTGGAAGGTGTTGATGATGAGCGCGGGCTCGCGCATGAGCGAGTGCAGGTGCAGGATGGACGTGATGGTCGACGGCGGGATGCTGAGGCGCGTTTGGATCGCCTCGAGGATCGAGGTGATGCAGTCGGCGAGGGCGATGGTGGTTGGGTTTGGGCGCGAAGCGTAGATGGTGGAGGTGTAGGAGGTGAGGAAGTGGATCTTCTTGCCGGTGGTTGCGAATGATATGACAATGCTGTGTATTCCGGCCATCAGCTACAATGCCTCTCACCACAAGAGCCATTGAGGGGTCTGAAACAAACCTCTCCACTGTGCCCGCCGTGCAGCCCGATATGCGCAGGCTCGGCCTCACAGGCCGAAACTCCTTCTGCACGGGGTCCCAGTCAAACAGCACCGACGACCGTCCCAGCCCCAGATGCAGCAAACACTAGATATCACTCGACCATCAGCACCTCCCCAAAACCCACCCAATGGTCAATGAGGAAAAAAACCAACAGTGCAAAACACATCGCTCCGCACCACATCCCCCACATCCTGCCCCTGCCCATACTCGCCCAGCGCCGCATCAAACACCCTCGGCCCCGCCTCGGAGAAGTACGGATTCTCCGGCTCGGCCGCGCCCTCCACCAGAAAGCTGTCCCACGTCTGGAACCGCGGCTTTGCCGGCGCCTTGACCGCGTCGGGCTGCGCCCACAGGTCTACGCTTGTGGCGGCCGAGGAGGAGGCATCGTCGGGCTGCTGGTCGGTCTCTTGTGTCGATGATGATGATGGCGCCGCCGCCGAGTCGCCGGAGGGTGGTTGTGAGGGCTCGGGTGGGATGTGCGAGAAGAAGCCGGGGTTGAAGCTGAAGAGCGAGGTCTGCGGCGCCGGCGAGGGGGGAGAGTCGATGTGCTTTGTGTCAGCTGTGGAGGGGAAAGTGTGTATGTAGTTAGATATCTGTAGCTGTAGCTGTAGCTGTAGTAGAGAAGAGATCGAGAGGGAGGGAGGGGCAGAATGGAAACTTACTTGCCTTGCAGGAGGGCGATTGGGAACAGCTGGGACTCCCGCGAGAGGTCGGGCGCGAGGTAGGACGAGCGCCAGAGGTCCGGTATGGCGAAGGGATAGACGTCTGCGTCGGGGGAGCGCTCCGAGTCTGCGAATATCGGTGCGTAGTCGGTCATTGTGTGTGTGGGTTCTCTCTCTCTCTCTCTTTCTGTCTCTCTTCTATCTTGATATCGCTCGTTCGTGATGTCTCTCTGTCTCTCCTCTATCTTGATATCGCTCATTCGTGATGTCTCTCTCTCTCCCGTATCGCGGGTGTGGCTGGTGCAGGATGGCGGGGGTTGATTGATGTTTGCGCCCTTTCTTTCTTTGTCTCGTGCAGTCGCGTCGTCCGCGACATCTCAACCCTCAACCCTTGCTTCTCTTCTCTTCTCTTCTCTTCTCTCCAACCTCTCTCTCTACAGCTCCTCTACAGCTTCATTCTCTGCACAGTGTGAATACCACAGCTCCCCACCACAGCTATAATGCCACCAAAGAAAAAGACAAAGGCCCCCAATCGCGCCGCAGATGCAGACTCGCCGGCCCCCGAGCCCGTCATCTTCGACGGCTGGACCGACGAGCAGGAGACCACGCTCTTCAAGGCCATCTCTGTCTACCGTCTCAAGCCCGCCGGTGAGCTCTCTCTCCCATCTTCTGACATGGCAATTGCATGATAGCTAGCTCTACATCCGAAACTAATTCGCCTCTTGTTCTGCCCCCCGCAGGAATGCACAAGCACTTCCGCATCATCGGCATCTCCGAGCTCATGAAGAACCACGGCGTCTCCGATATCCACACAGGCGTCGAGGGCATCTGGCGCAAGCTACAGTCACTCTACAACCTCGAGGGGCTCGACGAGCGGGTACTCAATCCCCCGCCCTTCCTCCCTCCCTTCTTTCTACTCTACTTGCACTGCTGCTGCTGCTACTACTACTACTACTACTACCACTACTACTACTACTGGACTAACACTAGCCTACCTATAGGAAGACCTTGAAGAAGACGGCTCCCCCGACCCCGGGGTAGAATTTACACTCCCGGACGAAGACTTTGGTACCCTCATGCACGCGCGCCGCCTCGACCCCAACAGCGCCGACTCCCCCGTGCGACTGTCAACCTTTACGTTCACGCCGGCGCCGCGCGGGAAGAAGGGGCGCGTGATGCGCAGCGTGAGCGCTGACGGCTCCAGGACCGCGCGCACGAGCAGCATCATAGCGGACGATACCGAGGACGGTATGGCCATGACCTTACCTTTTGCCTTTTACTATCTCTTCCAATTGCACGGTCTACTACAGTACAGTACAGTACAGTCTAACACCCCCCGCAGAGCTATCCCTCAAATCCGCCTCCCCCGTCCCGCGCAAGACCAAGATCGTATCGACCCGCGGGCGCAAGCTTGGCTTTGGAAAGGGCCGCGGCCGCGGCCTCAAGAAGATGGCATCTCCACGGCGCAAGCCCCCCGCCACGCCCAAGCCCGCCGAGGAGTCTGCCGAAGAGGAGTCCGAGTCGTCGAGCACGCACGACGCCTCCGACGACGAGCTCTCGGAGGTGCCGGACGAGGACGACGACGACGTAGCCGAGGCCGAGAGCGACGGCGAGGCCGAGAGTGAGGGGGGCGAGAGCACGACGGCCGCGGAGAGCCCGGCGCCGACGGTGAGTAGTCGCGGGAAGGGCAGTGGGCGTGGGAGGGGCGGGGGGAGGGGGAGGGGGGGCAAGAGGGGCGCGAAGAGGGGGGGCGATGTGAGGAGGAGTACGAGGAAGAAGTAGTGACATCTTCCTTCTTCTTCTTCTTCTCCCCCTCATTATTATGCTGCTTCTTGGGTTTAACTGGTTGTTTCCTTATTCTTCTTTTTTTCTCCCTGTGCCTGTTTTTGTATGTCCCCACTCCTCATCCGGTTGTTTTTGAACCTGCTGTACATTACCGGCCGGCGCACATTGCAAGTCTTGATTTTTTTCCAGTCCCTTTTTTTGTTTTTTCCAGCCTTTTTTTTCCCCCTCTTCTCTTCTTCTCTTCCTCTCTCGCCTTATGCATGGCATTGCATGCATACATCCTCCTCCCCCGGCCCCTGGCAAACAGTAGTTAATTTTAACCGCACCACCAATCCCCCGCACCCCATTGGCTGGCTAGCTGGTCGAGGAGGAGGAGGAGGGCGCAAAAAAATCATTATATAACCGATCGAGGGACCGATTGTGTGCTTAACCGCGTAGATGAAGGCCCTCGCCCGCTGTGTGCGGGTATGTATAAGTGAGGGGTGAGATGTGGTGATGCACTGTGGAGGTGAGGAGGGCATACCCGGTGTGTGAGTCGATGGGGCAGAGGGGGGGGGGGAAGAAGGGGTTGAAATTCCCTCGAGCTGGTGATGGTAGTGGTAGTGGTAGTGGTAGTGGTATTGGGGGCAGGGGCGGGCTCGATCTGTGGGATTGAGTGCAATTGTGGTACCGGGAGAATTGCAGTTAATGGGAGGTGTTAACTGCGTAGGGCAGTGGGTACGTCCTTACCGCAGGGCTACTCTAATGTGTATGGGGAGCTCTTCGAGCATCAGGGGGAGGATTATCATGATGTGTGAGGGAGTATTGGGGTAACTACATGTGTAAGGAAGATTGTCTTTTGGGGGGATCGAGGGAGGGAGGGAGGGATGTAGGTACCGATGTGTTTGATGTGGAGTATGTTCTTTTAGGAGAGTACATGTACCTACGGCCGGTATATCTGATATTTAATATTCTCTACCTACTATTATCAGACCTAATATGTCTCTCTACTTGTATGTTCTGCCAGCCGGTACCTACGTATTGTAGCACCCTAGTAGAAGGATTGGAATCTCATACTACTTTACTTCTCGTCTTCATGGAGTAGCTGGGCTACATACTTGTCTCGTCTCCATATATTATTCCCTACGAGCAGCAAGTTAGCTAGGCATGTATAAACCCCAAAACGCCCGTGTGTGTAAGTACATGAGATTTCGAACTACTGATAAGGGGCAATATATCAATACATGTACTCTAGTTAGTAACACTGTATTCAAACCCAGTGAGAACACCTAGCACTGTAGGCATTTGCATAGAGCAGATTTGCCAGAATAGCTTGTATATCTTCACGGTTAGAGCTGGCTCTTCCTCTACATATCAATCAAGCAATCTGCATTGCATCAAGCGTGACCTTCACCGTGTACCTACCTACAGTCTTTTACCGTCTCTTGACGAATACTGCCAGTTGACGAACAGGGGACTTTGGGCCAATAGAAATTAAAAGGACCGGAGATCTCGTAGCTTGGCTGTTTCTTTCCATACTTGGAATCCCTGTTCGTCAAGTGGCAGTATTCGTAAAAGACTGTAGAGTACAACTACCTACATGATACAGGTACCTACATGCATACAACATAAACCTACGTGATGATGATGCGAAGGCAGAATCGAAAATACCGGATATGCACCTTCTTCTCCTCCCCCCCTCTCTCTGTCCCTAAATAACTAAAATACATGTATCTGCCCCCTTTCACATGAATTTTTTTTTAAATCCCTCTATCACTCACCTTCATCACCCTCACTCACTCTCTAGATGTATCTCCACGATTGCAAAAATGCAAGATCCACCGGCTTCGAATCGCGCCTGGCGCCGTTGGAAATATCTAGCTGCGCTGCCTTGGTGGAGTAAGCCATGTAAGCTGTATGTAGCTAGATGTATGTAGGTACTAAACTAACTAGATCGTGATGAGGTGTGATTTTAGAGACCCCCCTCCTCCTCTACTCTACTCTAGGTCTGCTCTGGAGCTCTGCAGCTGAGAAATCTGGAATACCTGCTCTAACCCTCCATCGCATATTCCATACGGCTATGTAGCTGACTGCGCCTGCGTATAGTAGTACGAGGGGAACATCATATCAGCTATGATTGCCTCTCTCGAGCTCTCATGCTCAAGCACCCCATTTCACGAGCCAGACATGTGCTATAGCGAGCGCCCATCTCGTACCCGCGATGAGCTCAGGCCCGTACGAACCTACAGAGGGGGAGGATCTCGATCACACCCTCAGAAGCGTGACTTTCGAGACGTAACCGGTCTTCCACATCCATACCCCACCGGTTGGGGTATGGATGGATGGGGGAGTGAGCGAGTGTGAGTGAATCGAGATCTGGCGGAAGCAGTACCCTTCGATAGTCACGACCACGTTTAATAACCTCCCCGTCCCCATGTTAATAATAAGATAGAGTAGGTACAGTACTTTTCTTCTATAAATTGTTGTTATTATTACCGGGGGTTAGGGTTGCGGCAAGCACGGGCCATGCACTGAGGTTGGGGTTCATGGGATACGATACCTATCCGGGTATTTCACAGTACGTACCCTGCAAAGGACGACGTCGAGGGTAAAATCCGCCCAGAAATGGAAACGTGCGACTTGGCCTCTTCTTTTGGGGCGGGGGCGATTTTATTATTATTATCCTGATTGAATTTAAATTACTGATGATGACTCTTTGCTTTAATTGCGCCAGCACAATTGCTAGTAGTGTGGGCAATACTATCATTGACCAGCTAGCTAACAAGTCTAGCAACATCGACCACCACCACCCACAGTACCTACATCGAATATTCTATATGGGTAAAATACATCCGATCCAGCCAAACATCCAGCTAGCAAATCCGGCGGCGGCAGTATGATACGGCAATTCCAATTAAACCCACAATTTTAATTTTCCCCTTTTATAATTGGGTGGAGGGATCCAGTACCAATGAGCGGAGATTTCCCACCATGATCTCGGAATTTTGTAGATGGTGAGCGTGGATCGAGATTTCCGGATCTTTTTTTTTTTTCTTGCACCACGCATGCGGGGATGTGCAATGTTTTTTTCTTCTTCTTCCCTTCCTGTTTATCTTGTTTGTTCCCCACCATCTGTTTGTGTTTTGAATCGAACTGGGTGCTGGAACTGGGTCTGGATTGGGGGGCCTCTTTCCGGCCACTACATTGAGGTGGCGGCGGAGAAGGAGGAGGAGGGGGGGGGGGGGGTAGAGGAGGAGGGTACGTACCCATGGTTCAAGTTACAGCACCTACAGGTATGGGTATTTGCACCTACACCCCTAAAGAAACATAGAAGTAAGTATCTCCACCACCACAACGTTTCCCATTGCACCCCTCCTCCTCCCCAGACCCAACCATACATAACCCAGGAAAAAAAATCCAACCTATGTACCTCTCGGGATTCCGCAACTAGGACCCCCAGCCACCCCTCTCCCGATCTCGATCGGACCCTGCATAGCAAACCGCCCACAGGGCTGGCTGGCCGACAGGACAGGGGGGGGTCCACAAGATACCGAGTGATCGGTTGTGAATCTTCCAATCGGTGCGCGCGCGCGCGCTGGCCCTAGTAAGCAGTTTTGATTCACAAAAGAAGAGGCATACCTACCCACCCTGTGAGCTGCGCAGAACATGTGAATCATTGGCCTGCCGCCGGGGATTGTGAGTCGTGCTTCCGGATTCCGCAATTTCGGGTTCGGGTGCACTTTGGGGGAGCTGAGGTGGTGGGGGGTACCTGGTGGGATGTACCTATACCCTACATACATCATATTACATGTCTTGATTGAGCTAGAGCACGGAATCACGTAGATCTCCAAGAATAGACGGATGGGAAAGAATCTTGTGATGTAGTTTTTGCGCGATGAGATTGCACTTTTGTCCCCCGTCGTTGTCTTTCGAGATTTCCATATGCTGGGAGGATTACAATGATCGCCCGGACATGTTTCTGACCATCCCGTCTTTCGACAGCCCTTGTACATGGCAGCTCGACGTCTAGACACCAACTCTGCCGAAAAAGGCACCCAAAAATCATTTCCCCAGCCAACCCAATTTAGTAATGCTTGGATTTGATCCCCAGCTAGGCAGGCAGTCTGTCTCGCTAAACAGTCTTGGCAACGAAACCCTGGAAGCTTTTCACTAAGGCCAAGCTTTTTCTATCTCACTAGAGTGCTAGTTTTGATTTTCCTAGCTGAACTGGAAATGACGAACCTACCTATTAAATTTCAATCGCACTGGGGCCGCCGCCGCAGATTCTTTAGACCCTTCCCGAGACCCGTGGAGCTGAAAAAAGCAATGCTAGACAAAGACGAACAACCGGATGAAAACGGAGCTCATCGATCGGTTGTATGTGTATGTAGAGCAGGTACTAGTATTTCGCTGACGTTTTTGAACTGGGCCATTATTGCATACACCCAAAATCATGAGCTTGGCGTATTTTTGTATGGCATGCAATATCAGTCGCGTCCACAAACGTCAGAGAAATACGAGTAGAGTAGAGATGTATGTACTTACAGACGGGTAGAGTAGACTCGTGGAGTGGTCTCCCGTTCATCGTACGAGTGCTATGGAGTACCCTAAATGCTAAATGTAGAGTAGAGCATGTAGAGTAGGTGAATTACATACTCGACTCTACCTACGTTACGTATGTGCTTGCTCGTGACAACCAGTTGCGATGTGACTTTTCTTTTTCAACTCTCGGATCGAAAACCACGGCGAATAAGGTAGAGCAGGTACTTTAGAGACCGTAGAGTACCTACATATCCAGAGCAGAGCATGTATGTCCCAGAACGCTTACTCCAGACAGGCAGGTAAGCCGTGAATACTATGAACTTTCTGACCGCGGTAGAGGGCCCCTCCCCGTAAGCGCGAGATCGGATGAACCGGGGGTCTACTCTATCTACAACCCCAACATATCTCCGAGATAGGCAACCTTGGAAGTACGAGTAAGAAGGCAGCGGGGGAGTGTTAGATCGAAAGGGTCCAATTGCATCTTATCGCACCGCCGTTACACCCTGAACCCAGCACCAGGAACGTGCACGATGGCCTTTTGACTAAAAATACGGTCCAAGGGAAAAAAAGAAAAAAAAACCAAGGGAGAGGGGAAATGATGCAACCGCAGACGTAATAGGACCTTTACTCTATCCACCACATTATGCAGGCTGCCTATGCCCAATGTATGCAGAGTTTGAGTACGAGTATGTACCCACTACTCTACTGGTTGGATGACGCCCTATGCAGTTTACTTTTGGGGGGCAATGTGATTGTACCTCTACCTTTGGATTTCCATCGCGACCTTTTAGCTAATTACCTAAAGTTATCGTACGAGGCTGCCGCTGCTGTCGGGATCGGTAGAGCAAAGGTATTCGGTACCTCTCCCATGGATCTCGCCTCAGTAAAGCCTCGTTTCTCGCCCATTGACTGATGAGTGCTCAACGAGGCTTCTACCCGTGAGTAGGTATACTCGAGGCATTTACACACTCCAGAGAAAGGCGATGAGGGCACTTTACGCTCGAGGATAGCCTAGATAGCCTAGATAGGTGGTAAAAAGGCGCACGTCTTCTTCGTCTTCCTTCTCCCGCCAATATCCGCCTGGCAGTTAGACCACACCTCATCTCAGGCTTACATGTTTCGTCAAACGGGCAACCGTGCACCGGAAAGTGCAGCATGTGTTTCCCGAAACTCTCTGACTGGACGTGGGTTTATGTGTGTGTGTGTGTGTGTGTGTTTTTGTCCTGTGGGCGAGAAAACAATCTCTCATCGAAGCGTCTCGGTGGGCAAGCCTGTAAGGGCGTTCATCGTTGGTGGTGGTGCGTTGGCCGATGCCACTGACCAGGTTTCCAGAGCGCAATGAGATTACATATAGGTAACTGCAGGGAGTGGTACGGTAGCTGTGTCTATCCGACAAGTCTTTGAAACAAAAAGAGCCGCTCGTAACTATTTGCTTACTGTTCGCGGGTAATCATCCCGAAGCAGATAATATAGTAGATCCTTTTAATGTTTTGTGAACAGTCAGTTTGACTATTCGCAATACGAATGGAATTATTGACACCTTTGTAGATTGGTTTCTCCATTTGGGGGAATCTAAAATCATATTTAAACATACCGCGCATTATGCGCTGGATTACCCACTCAAGACGAGGATGTGGATGCAGTGATCATTTGTCCTAATCAAGTATTTTTTTTGCCCAGAGAATCCTACACTCCATCTGCTGATAACTGCCTTACTAGCGAGGCGACTCCATACCGGTATTCTGGCCAACGCGGTTCAAGCGGCAGCCTGGGTTATCATGTGCACAAAGGCAGAGAGACTTCTTACTACAGATCACCAGTGCCTCATCCATGAAGGCAGAAAAGGAAGAAAGGAAAAGGAATACCCAAAGAATATCATGACTTTTGCCACGTATGGGCAGTGAACACTCCAAAGAAAAATAAAATATTAAAAAAATAGGAAAGCAAATTCAATAACACGGGATTTTCTTTTCAATTTTCACATTATCAGTCTGAATCTTCTGACATTGCTGCTGACGACCTCAATAAGAACCGCAGTTTGTAGATGGCATAGCCAGCTAGACACCCGAACACGATTAACAGGATAACGATGAGAGCGATGACTTGGGCCTGGGGCATTTCGATACTGTCAGCTCGTATGGACAGAAAACGAATATCTAAATAGATACAAGCCGCACAGCCAATCAGCTACTCAGTAATTGGAAACAGGAACGGTGCTTCACTTACGCTCAAGGGTCCGGTAGTGCACAGGTAGTGCACAGGTATCGTGGTTACCAGGATAATACACAAAGGTTTGAGAATATGGGGGGGAAGAAATTTTTGGTGGGGTAGGGCAGAAAGTGTATGTTGCGGGACCCCACAAGGATTTTCCACTGTATTCGGATATTGGTCGTATCAATGTGGGTTTTTTTGTCGATCGATATTTTTGGTGTCAAGTGTTCGAAAACACTTAATTTTCCGTAGATTCCGTGGGTTTGCAAATTGACTGTCGTGAATTAATATTTCGTTGAGCTTGTGATCCTCAGCGGTGAGGACCTTGTTTAACGGATGAGTCTGCCATGGGGTGCACGACAGGGCTTGTTAAGGCAGGCCGAGTACTATTAGCATAGTGGGGTTCTCGGAGTCTTGGTGTTTTGAATATTCTGTGGAACGAGTGCGGTGGCATGGTATTATTGCGGGGAGAGTAATTGCTTTTGCGATTCTGATAGGTTGGGGATAAATTCTGGGCATTTTCGTAATGACCAATTACTATTCATATTCGAAGCGCCGGGGACAAAACGGGCCAGGCTACATACTGGTTCGCTCATTCGAAACCGCCTCTCGTGAAGTATTATTATCCCCTACCTCAAACTATTCTCGAGCTCCAGAGGCTTCTAACGGGTTGAGTAACAAGATAATAATACTTTAAAGGTGGTTTCGAATCACTTTGATCACTACTAGTACACCCACTATATACCTTGACTGTCCTAAACGGGTCGTATCTCCCGTGGATTTGTGATATACCATGGACACTGTTGTGCCAATTGTTCCACCTTCAAGATCATCTCACGAAGTCGCACCGTGGGGCTGTCCAGATTGTAGACTACCGATACACGGCGCATGGACATAGCAGAGCCGAGATGTCGCAGGAGCTCATCCACGTTCAGCTTCTCGTTCGCCTACCTATCCAGTCCAGTCGTGCGGAGCAGCGGCACCACAACGTTCGGCGAATTTAGTGGCAGAGGTTGTATCTTGACATGCGCATCGGGGAAAGTCCACAACAGCCGTGGGTGGGGGCGGCCCGAGCTTCAAGAGCCTCACGATGCCTTTGATAAGAACTGGCCCGCTGATCCTGAGTTGTAGAGAATTTCAATAAGGACGGATTGTCAGTTTTGTTTTCCTTCCCTTTCCAGAACGTGACCTGCTGAGTATTCGCACGTTGAGGGTACATACTCTATCTTCAGTGTTGAGCCGTGCGTCTCCCACCACTAACCTACATACATATCATATGTAGGAGTGGAATAGTGCAGTGCAGGTTGCTGTAGCTCGGCTGGCAGTGCATGGCCAAAACCAGTGCCTTGCAATTCGACGCTATCACCATAATAACCACCACCAGTCGTTCGTTTTGCCATGTCATATTTCTCATTTGCTGGCTGCACTCCACACCGTCCTTCCTGACTTGCAGTAACCAGAGAAACATGGCCGAACCAATCCCTCCTCAACTCGTGGTCGTTCTGTAGTGAGCTGCATAGGCTGCATGAACGCACTAGGCACTAGTGCGGTATTGGTGCCCTCTCCGCCCGTCAGTACTTAACTCTGCTGCCAAACAAAATGTTAGATATAAGAAATGCCCTGCGACTCTCGTCTGAAGTTGAATTCTGCCTCGAACAACACGAATCTCAACCCAGTTCATCAGCTCAGAAATAAATTATCGCTCGGCTCCTGAAACGCTGACCAAAAAAGCTTTCGACTCAAGTCAACAACCCAGCATTTTTCGAAGGAAAAAAAAACAAACAAGTTACCGCCGGCGGCTCCTAAGACTTCTACAGCTACTCGAAAGCCTTACCAAAGTCTCGACTGTAAAGAATCTTATATATATATATCATTGGTCAGTACCTAGGTTCTCTGAACTGTATATCAGGTCGTCCATTTACTAACATTTTGCAGGGGTTGCTCTCACCAGAGGCACCAAATAATCACGCTGGCGAAACGATATATTCCAGTAACAATGTCCCACCCAACAACACCACCTAGCACTGCTGGGTACTCTTTTGTTTCTTACCCTACGGATTACATCTATGGCCCGGACCCCCGTAATCACGTAGTTTCGCAGCCACAACCGATCCAAGCAATTCAGATGCACCAAATAGAGCTTCCTGGAATCCAAACGGGGGCAACAGCTTACCAGCCCTACTACCCATCAAATATCGCATATGCACATATGGCTCCGATGGGGCAACAAACACCACCAAGTGGCCCAAGCCCTATGCTCGCACACTCACATCTACCGCCAAGTCCAATAATGCACCATCCCCATGGAAACCCTCCACCAACACCACCAAGTCCAGACCGGTGCAGCGCAGATACGAAGGTTATGCGACATATCCTGACTGCAATGACAAAAATGCAAAGCACTATGAAGGATTTGGCCGAGAGACAAGAGCAGATTCTCGACCGAATGAGCCTGCTGGAGCAGCGAGGTAGGCCTATTAATCAAACCACCAACCGTAAACTAGCCCAAAAAGCTGACTCTTGGTTCAACACATAGTCGGAAGAATTGATGACGGCATCAGCACGCTATTGCAACAATCCGAGGTTATTGTGGAAGATGGAAAGAACATCAGGGCTAGAGTTGATGATACGGATAGGTTAGTTGGAGTCTTTCTTTGGACATCCGATCGTTCTCGAGCTAACGGGTTCTGATCTCGATAGTCAAGATGCATTCGAAAACAGACTGACAGCCTTGATGGATGGGGTTGTAGAGAAACTGATTGGTGGGATTGGTGACGAAATCAAAGACATCAAACGGCTAGTAAAGGACACCGAGAAATACGTCCGAGTTGATCCTTTCAGCTGGAACGGCAAAATGGCTCTGGGACAACGCTATCGAGAGGCCATCAGTTCTGGGGAAGAAGAAGAAAAAGAGGTCAATGCATGATTTCTGGATTTATTCTTCCATATTTCCCTTTATCAGTCATCATCTGCAGTTTTTTTGTGTTTTTGGGCAGGAGCATATTCGGAGTGTACTCTTACAGGATCTTTTTGATGGTAAACTCGTTGGGCAGGCTTATTTGACTTTTTTTGTATCTATCTTTTTTTTTGGTCCTACCTTAACTCGCGGCTGGCTGGCTTGTTTTCTTTTCTTTGTTTATTATTTTATTCCCCCCCGGGTGTCCTGGCTACACTATTTCTTCTTTATATTCTGGCGTATTTTGTTTCATAAGAGTTACTGTGGGGAAACAGTACGGGTGGTCCTTTTGCGATATCCAAAGAACTTTGCAATGTTCAAAAAATAATATTGCTTGAAACAGATTTTTTTCTCTCCGCTGCCCTTATCTTCGTGTTGGCAAATGTGGGTCAATCAATCATTTTTGCGATACTAACTGAAGTATCTCAAAAAGTACCTATATTCTGTACCAGTCCCAAAGCGGAGAGTTCTACATGAACATGCGCAGCGGTAGATAACATTTCAACCCATAGGAGCTTTTCGCAATCGCAGATCGATTCCTGGCACCAAAGGCGTCGTGGTCCAATACCTGAAACTGGGTGACAGGTAGAGTGACCTACATAAAAGCCGTTGCATATATTAAGGCACCGATTGAATCGTATCCAACAATCAATTGGCGAACAAACAGGGCTCGCTGTCCAGTAGGCATTGAGCCTGGGGGACAAATCCGTCAGCAGATGTTTTTTTCTTCTCTTTCCTTCCTTGGAAGCTTCTAGTAGAGAACAATTGAGATTAAGACCCTCACTTGATCAAGCTGCTAGCTACTGACTGGCTACCATTTTGCAAAATCGCGGAAGTTGTAGCCGTAATCTTGTCTCATTAGTAAAGATCGTAGTTAACAAACTGAAGCCTCGCCATGCGCCGATTTCATCATATCATCCCTCATGAGCTACTTTTTTCCCAAGGAATTGGTTGTCGTAAAAAAAAGCAAAAATCCCGCTTTGCTGTCCAAAGCTTGTCGCCGCGTGAAGCTGTGGGGTGGGGGGGCCGTACGGATCGAATTAAAAAAAACAATCTTTGGGGAAAAAAAAAAAAGAGCTCTTGCAAATGGACGTGTATGTTCTGTTAGCTCTGCACTATGACCTCACGTGCACATGAAACATTGAGACAGCATATCATTTATTTAGTTACCCGGCTCTTCTTTGTAATCGAATCATTTTTCATGATGCAATATTTTCATCTTACAATGTATAATACATGAGTCGTTCACTGTCTCTTGACGAATACTGCCAATTGACGAACAGGGATTCCAAGTATGGCCAAGCTGCGAGATCTCCAGTCATTTTAATTTCTATTGGCCCAAAATCCCCTGTTCGTCAATTGGCAGTATCCGTCAAGAGACAGTGAACGACTGTACTCGCAAAGGGTAACGGGTGTTGTGGTCTGGCTTAAAAGACTACGGTGACAACCTAGAGGCTATAACTACGCTCATACCTTAGGTTCCCCCCAAATAAAGGCTTTCTTGAACTGCTTTCTACCGGCTAGGACGCTTCTCAAGGCCTGGTATATAGATAGAAGGGAACCATGCGCATGTTGTAGGATGGATCTATTATACAGCTATATCGAGTTCCCGGCCGGTTACAAGTACGAGCGGTCAGACTGTCAATGAGGTACTCGGAAACCAGTCCGGTCCATGTGTATATGTAACTATATCTCTGGCAATGCGGTTCTCGAACTGGACTCTACGAGAGCTTCTATGCGGGATATCTATAATTTCTTACCCTGGATATTTGTCCGTAGGAGATAGTTTGGCGCACAAGCTTAAGCTTCCAAAGCATGCACCTGTAAACCCCGGGTCTCGGGGAGGAACCTAGTCGTTTTCATCCTATTAACACCAACAAATACAGTGGTTAAATACCCTACCGGAGCTCACAAGCCCCAGAACAACAAAGAGAGAGAGAAAAACACCAAAAAACCAGCGCAAAAAACAAAAGAAAGGGAAAAAATCATAACCCAAAGCCTAACGATTCTCTAAACCAAACAACTCCCCCCCCCCCCCGGGGCCTACGACCTCCTCAAGCTCCGAATGACCATATCCAACTTCTCCGCCGCCTCCTCCCTCGCCCTCACGGCCTCCAGCCGCTGCGCCTCCGCCTCCTTGTACTCATTCTCGAGGTTCCGCAGGCGCTCCTGCTGCTCGTCCTCCGACACGCCGATGCCTGGAAGCGAGGTGATCAGGAACTCGATCTGCTTGGACTTGAAGATGAGGTCACGGGCGAGCTCGATTTTCGCGGCTAGGGTTGTTAGCTTTGCGCGACAGGAGGGAGACCGGGGGGAGGTGGGGGACTAGGGGGTGGTACCGTCGAATGTGGCTTTGTCGTCGATTACGGCTGTGGGTGTGTGTTAGCTCTGAAGGGGGAGGGGGAGGGGAAGGGAGGGAGGGGAAGGGAGAGAGGGGGGGTAACCGTTCTCGTCTGTGACTTTGGCTTCGCCGCCGACGGGGACCGCGTCGTGGTGGGTGCCGACGTAGCGGAGGGCGCTGAAGAGCTGGGTGGCCATCTGGGGGGGTGTGTTAGAGCTGTGGAGAGCGGGGAGAGAGAGGGAGTAGGGAGAGGGAGAGGGTATCTACCTGATCGATTGCATCTTGGAGCTGTGAGAGGCGGTCGGCCATTGTGGTTGTTGTGGATGTGGGCTGTAGGAGGAGGAGGAGTGAAGTGGTTGTGGTTGAGTGCAGCACACAGAGCACAGGCGTGACAGGGCTTGACAACACACCCCACCAGCAGAGAACACAGAACACTCCACACTCCACAGACAGAACATCCCCCACCATCTCCCCTCCCCCTCCAAACACCTCAATTCCCCCAGAAGATGGCCCAGAGACCGCCTCTAACGCTCACCGCAGAGCTCGAGAAGCTCGAGCAGAGCATAACACTCACCCTCCAAGGCAAGTTTACACCCCCGACACCCCCGTTCCCCCTTCCCTTCCTTCCCTTCCTCGCTCCTAACATCCCCCGTGCCCCCGCAGAGATCGACCACAACTTCAGCAAAACCCACCGCATCGTCACAAACTCCATCATCCCCATCGTCGAGCGCTACGCCAAAGAATCCACCGCCGTCTGGGAAGGCTCAAAGGTCCCCTCCCTCTCCCCCGCCCGCTTAGAAAAAGCCAATCGTTGACACTCCCTATAATACACCCACAGTTCTGGAAGCAATTCTTCGAAGCCTCCGCCAACGTCGCGCTCTCAAACTACCAAGAAGAGGAAGAACCCAATTACGGCGAGCCCACGACCGTCGCCGCCGAGGGCACAACCTACGTCACGCACGACTCATCCGCATTCCCGAACTCGTCGCCGGCCAACTACGAGCACACCCGCGGCGCTGCTGCTGACGACGACGGGGACGAGACACTGCAGACGACCGCGACGACGGAGCGCCATCCGCAGGGCGACGCAGACAGTGACGATGACGACGATTACCTGCTTGACGACTCGATGCTCGACTCTCTGAACCTCACGGGGGCAATCACGCACCACTCCACGCCCAAGCCGAAGCCACAGCAGCAGCGCGCGGGACAATGGGCCAACATCGAGTCTCCCTTCGAAGCATTCAAGAAGGAGCTCACCCCCGACCCCTTCCCCAGCCGCAGCGGCGGCAGAAACGACGCCGCCGCCGCCGACTCCGACTCCGACACCAGTCTCACCGACTCCCTCCTCCTCCCCTCCACACCACCCACAAACCGTAGCCGCCGCCCCGCACCCACGGACGACCCCAGCACGCCCACGCCCAGCACCTCCTCCCCCTTCCTCCCACCCACACTACACACAGCGCGCAAGACCCCCGGCGGCGGCGGCGACGCCCTCCTGCACCGTGTGCTCGACAAGAATTGGCGCGTCCAGGCCACCCCGCTCGGAAAAGCCCCCGCCACAAAATACCGCACCACCACCGGCGCAACACCCCACAGCACCCGCCGCCTCTTCACCACCGCCCACCTCGACCCGGACTCGGACGACGACGACCGCTCCCCCGAGAAGCCCCAACTACACACCAAACACCTCTTCTCCCCCTCCCCCCCGCGCGCCGCGCACCTCAACCTCGGCCCCAAAACCCCCACCACCGCCAAGGCAAAAGGCAAAAACAAGGCCCCGGACCCCTGGAACAACAACCCGCCGGCGCCGCAGACTCCGACGAGGACCAAGACAGCGACGACGAAATCCTCGGCTACAGCCCCCGCAGACGATCCAGTTCTCGTTCCCCGCGAGCAAGCTCCTGGCCACGCCGGCGCGCGAGGCGAGTCGCAGGATCGTCAAGGATATACTGATGACGGCGGGGGCGGGCGATCTGAGTGCGAGCCAGGGCGGGGACAGCTTTAGCAGTCCGCCATTTGTCAGTGGGAAGGGCGCGGGCAGGTGGGCGGATAGTGATGAGGATATCTTTTAGCTGCGGGTGGGGAGGCCCGGGGGGATAAGGGGGAAGGGGGGGTAATTGTATATATAGATGATATTATTGTTTTTGCTTTTTTGTTATCGCTTTTTTCTTGAATAATAATGGGTAATGACACAATCAAGATACTTTATGTGTCTATCGGGGAAGATGGGATATGACCATTCATGGGTGATCACTCGCACATGTACAAGACGGGAAATGATTGCTTCTGCATGTATTGCTGCGCACCACTACTACCGCATGTACCGAATGGCTTAATTTTAATCCTTCAAAAAAAAAAAAAAAACAGCCCCCCGGGTATTATTTCTCTCTGAGCTTACCACGGAGTAAAAAAAAAAAAAAAAAGAACAAAAGGTACTGCGACGGCGGCCCGTCACTACCCCCACTCCTTTAAGGTTCGAACCCAGGACCTCGCGGTCCTGAGCAAACACACAGTGTCTCACCCGACGCCGGGGTCTAAACCGTTAGACCGCTCGCCCTTGTTGGTACTGCGTGAAAAGTGATATTTAACCTTGGTGGTGTGTGTCAAGATGAAGTTGGATTTCAAGACTTGATGCACTCGATGGCCGGGGGAGGACGAGAGACACAAGCCTGCTGTCATATCGAAGCTCTACTATTTTACAAGCATTCAAGCCCGTCAAAAATACAGAGTGGTGTGGCGCAATAAATCAACTATGTAGGTATTCTAATTCTACACTCTAGTCGCACCATCCAACAGTCTACGATATAAATAACTGATTTATCTCCCTCCCCCCCACAGCACATCTCTAAACTTTAAAGCCAACAAACCGGTATCCCGCACCCACCCACTAGGGCCCCAAATATTTCCTCGCACTCTATCATCGCACACACCCTCCATCAGCACTCATTCATCGTCACCACAATCACAACCAAAAGGAATTCCAAAACTCACCTCCTGCAAAATGCCAACCTGCCTACTCGCCTTGATAAACATATCCCGATACTGCTCGAGACTGCTATGCACCACATCCCCTCTTGTCATAGTGCCCTCACAGATGCGCTTCATCTTCTCCTCCATCTCCTTGCGCAGGAACGGCTTACTGAGGCTGTTGTCGAACCCGATCTTGTCGTAGCCCTCGACCAGCGCGATCCCGAGATTGCTGGGTATGAACTCCAGCATCCCGCCTCTTCCGCCACCCGCCGCCGCGCCGCCCCTACCACCCCCTCGCGCCGCTCCTCCTCGACCGTGGCCGCGGCCCCGGCCTCTTCCGGCGGCGGCAGGTTCATTGTCCATTTCCTCTTCTGCGTCACCGCCGCCGCCGCCAGCACCACGGGTCTTGGGCTGCGCGAAAACATACATCCTCTCCGTGATCCTCGCAATATGATCAGCCATAGTCGCATCCGTGCCAATGCCGTTCGCATCCATCAGCGCAATCAGCTCCGGCTCCGTCAGATACGCGGGGGGGCTCGTCTTCCCCTCCGTGATATTCGCCTCTGTCGGGATGAACCTCTCTCCGTCCCTGAACTTAGGGAGGATCTGCGAAGAGACCCATTTCTCGTATATGTAGACATCAAGGTAGTTGCGCTTGCGCACGATAAGGCCCGAGGTGTGGAAGTGTTCGTCGCCGTATTTGATGTTGACCGTTGTGGTCTCGCCGATTGCGTCTTCGGAGCAGCAGGCGAGGAAGCGGCGGGTGATGAGTTCGTAGACTTTGCGTTCATCGGCGGTAGCAAGGGCGGAGGGGGCGACAAAGGCGACGGGGTGGATGGGGGGGTGGGCTTTGTCGTTATTTTTGCCCATGCAAGGCTGAGAGAAGCCGCCGTCCATAAGTCTATATAATGTATCATATCAATCATTGACATCCGGAAGTTAATATAAGGATTATAGAAGATGCTATACCCTTGAGCAAACTGCCCCCAGCTCTCACTCTGTATCTGTTTATCCACAAGCGCACGCAGGTCAATTGCTTTATCAAACTGGTCCGTCTCCGTTCTGGGATAACTGATGAACCCCGATATATAAAGCTTCTCCGCTATCTATAGCACACATTAGCAATCCCTTGATTTGACTCGACAACGCTCAACACACCGTCATCACAAGCTGCGACGAAAGGCCCAACAGTCTACTCCCCTGCTTCTGCAGCTCCACCGTCGTCAATGGCAGCGGCTTCCTACGCAACCATCAGCCAAACCCCGGGATAAAAAAACAAAAGAGGCAGATAGATACAATTTCCGAGCAGGCTTCGAGACCGTGCTTATGACGGTGGCGTACTTTTCCAGCAGACACCGCTCAAACAGGATGACCGTGCTCATCCTGTCAAACAGCCGGCTCCGGTTCCAGTTGAACGTGACATGGATATCGTCCCTCTTCTGCATAACCTTGATATACCAGAAAGGCTCCGCAACAAAGTTCTTGATCTTGTGATACCGGTCCACCACGAACCCCAGCGTCGGGAACTGACAAGACCCTATCCACAACACACACACCTCGCCGTCAGCACACAAAACCCAAACCCCACACACCGCCCCAAACCAAAACCAAAAAGAAGAAAAACCCACCATAGCTCACAATCTGATCACTCCCCAGAATGGCCTTCAACGCCGTCGTCTGCCACCTCGTGAACGCCGCGCCAATCCTCAAATCCAGCTCTATCCTCGCCGACACTGCTGCCGCCTGTCTTTCATCCAGGTCTATGGGGTTCTGTGCCGCATGCAGGATGTGCGCGCGCTCGATGTTTGAGAAGCGCGCACGCTTGACCATGATCCGTGGGTTAGCCTTGAGCGCAATGTCGCGCACTTCGGTGCCGATGTATTCGCCTTCGCGGTCGCAGTCGGTCCAGATGAAGAGCATTGATGCGTTGCGGGCTTCGTGAGTGATGTTGGTAGCCACGTCTTTAGTTTTTTCCTGTGAGAGTGGGCGGGCTGGGGGTTAGTGGTGGTGGCGGTGGACTGCTACTGCGGCGGCGGCGGGCGGGTGGGTGGACTACATACGCCAATGACCTGTACCGTGCGGGCTTCAAACAGCGCCCCCGGCGCGCACGAGTTCCACTTGCGATGCGCGTCGTCGAAATCCCACTCGACCGTGTGGCCCAGCACCGAGGTCATGGTGACCACGCACTCGCCCCATGGCTGCGCGAAGTGGTACGTAAAGTCGTAGTTCTTGATGTACTTGTTCTTGGTGGTCCTTACCTACATAACCCAGCGAGCCAAAAAAAAAAAAAACTTCACACATCAATCATCTATACCCCCAACCAACAGCAACATGTACAGAGGAAGAGATTCAAGTATATATTACATTCGTCTGGCCACCACTCATGTGCTGCGACACAGCCTTTGCAATCGATGGCTTCTCGGCGATGCAGAGGATCTTCTTGGGTGGCATCTTGCGTGCGGTTGAGGTTGTAGTTGTGGTTGCGAAATATTGCTTTGCGGCTGTGGTAAGAGAACGGTGTTGCATGGGGTGCGCGCGGGTGTTTTGGCAGACGCGGAGGAGGAGGAGGGCGGTGGGGAGGAGGGGAGACGTGACGTTGGCGCGTGGGGCGACGCGAAGGGTCAGGCGCTGTCTCACTACTTTACGCGTGCACGTGTGCGGTGAGGTCATGGCCTGTCACTCGGTGTGTGGGGTCGAGCTACAAGCGGGGTCGGTGAGGTGAGTGAGGCGTCAGGAGAGGAGAGGAGAGGTGGGGTGGGAGGCGCTGCTACTGCTTTTTGTATTCACCTCTCAATCCTTTTCAACGAACTGATGAAAATGTGAATAAATATAGAGATGAAGCGATGCAATTGTGATGGTGGTGGTGATGATGATGATGGTGGTGGTAGTCCCGCTACCTACACATCCCGCTTGTCCCAATCGGTCGTCTTTCAAAGTTTTCAATCTACTACTCTACATCCATGCATGCGCCACAACGGGGAGGGGAAAGCAACTGTTAATTCAGCATGGCAGGTTATTATTTAGCGCCCTCGCTGCCATCCTGCCTTCAGTACATGTAGTAACAATACATGTAGTAGTAAAGTAGAGCGAGGATGCAACAAATACATGTAAGACTTAAAAGTAGAGAGCACCTCGAGCATCCCGCAACTCACTAAACTACAAAATGCTACAAAAAAAAGAAAAAAAAGAAATCCGAGCTTAATAAACTACGAGAGATTCCCATCGTTTCGTTTGGAAATAAGCCTAAGTTGGCAGCTGCAAAAGGTGCGTACATGTAGTTATACAGTCATCACAACATATCACTCGTTTACCCGCGGCCACACTTCACCCTTGGCGTAGCGATTGAAATGCTCCCTATCCACAGGTTTACTGTGGTGTGCAAGTCTAGCTGGTCCTCTCCTCAATGGAGCCTGTAATATAATGGGGCGACTAATTGGACACGAAACGACAGTACAAATACGAAAGGACCGTATAGCTAGATCTCGAACTTTTCAATTCTTGAAAAACATAACCATCACGCTCTCTCATAGTCGACGTATATAGCGTACTAGGTATGAAGACCCCCTCCTCCCGCCCCCCGCCCCAGAAATTAATCACCTTTACCTTCGCTCCCAAAAAAGAAAGGGAAAGGAAAGAGAAAAAGACAAAACATAATAGAATAGAAATGTTCCAATTCCCATGCGATCACGGTAAAAATGAAAAAAAGAAAGAAAAAAAGAAGAAAAAAAGAATAATTTTGATGAGAATGATATAACAAACAAAAAAAGAACGCCCCCTTTGTCCGCTCTCACACATACATAACCAAATCAAACGACCAGAGGGGGGGAAAAAGTTACAAGAAGGTATATAAAAAAGCAAATGATTGAAATGTAGGACGCCAATATGGGCTGCTTGTGCCCCCAGTCATTACAAAAACAAAATCAAAAGATAACCTCGTTATGGTCAATGAGAAACTGGATCGCGTTGTTCTTCGCGTGCATGTCGGTAATCTCACGCTCATCGGTCATGTGTCGCAGCAACGTTGGTGCGAAAACCACTGCCAGATTTCTTGTTGTCATAAGATTCTCTTCTTTCCTCGCGGCAACCCTGAACGGTGTCAGTCAACTCAAACAAAAAAAAGCGTAAGAGAGCAATGTGACTTACCTGGCCAAGTGGAACACCACAAACTGTAAACAGTCCCTGTGAATGGAAGGAAGTTCATCAATCAGGTCCTTTATAATTTCTACTCGCTTTTCATCCTCTGGTTCATCTATAGAGGAAAAAAAGTCAGTATCAGTAACCGATTCGAAGCTTTGGTAAGGTCCGTACTTGTTGTTTCAACGAAACGCTCATAGATCTCATATGTAAGGAGCGGGTTCGGCAAATTCCGGAAATATTGCTTGAGCACACTCGTTACACCGCAAATGTCGACATTGCTATCGAATTGTGGATCTTCACCCCTTTCAAACGCATCCTGAATCTGGCGCATTTGCGAGGCGCCCCCGGACTTCCTGTAGATTCCTTCAAAGTCCATTCCTCGAATTTCAACCTCTTGGATACATTTCTGAACGACATTAGGTATCCGGTTGCCCTCGTATTCGGCTCGCTGTTCGAGTTCGGTACCGAAAAGTCCAACTGTAACTGTTAGGGAAATGAAACAAGGACAATCACCAAGGTTTTGGGGTACACTTACGGACACCGTTATCTCCAAGAGCATTAGAAGATCCGGACCCACCTAAAGCGCTTGTACCACTCTTGTTGTTCTTCGCCCAGCCCTTTCGTGCACCGAAAATCTTGGCACCAGGTGCGTCTGGAGCGGCGACAGATGTGACCTTCCGCAAATCAGGAGAGTCAACACAATTCGTCCAATTAATAAAATTGCATCGTTCTCGGGGGCACAAACCTTATTAAATCCTTTCCCAGCCCCCTTCATGATTGAAGCGCTTCCCTTCTTCCAGAAAGTCTTTTTCGGTTGTGCGCCATTCTTCAACGTAGTAACCTTCTGAGCTACTAGAACCTCGGCCCCATCGTTGGCATGAAGCTGTGATTGTGAGGATTGTGGTTGGGTTGGCTGATGTTGTAGCGGCTGCTGCTGGTAATCCTGGACAGGGATGGGAATTGAAATGCTTGACATTGACATCGACGCTGAAGATGTATTCGCGGTCGGTGGCCGTTTCTCCTCCGATGAACCCTTCATGCTTTCTAAGATATCCATGGGATTTCCGGTAAAAATCCCCAATCCATTGACTGGTGCTTTATTAGCTTTGAACTGACCCTGAATCCGTCTCGTGAGTTCATTGTTAAGATCAGCTAACTGTGCATTCTTCAAATTAAGCTGCTCGGTGTCCTGTATAGTCTGTTCGCGAGTATGGGCAAACATGTTGACCTCTTCAACCAATTGATCTCTTTGAGCGACAAGGCGCTGGATTTCTGTTTTCAAGGTTGCCTTTAGGTCTTCTAATTCTCGTGTTACACCACGGATGAGATCAGACTTCAGCTCTTCCATATTCAGTGGTTGCCTATAGATGTTTAGTAGATTTTCATCCATGAGATCCAAAAGATACTGACCCGTCCTTAGCAGCATCAACCCTCTCTTTAATTACCATGAGCTCACGCAAAAAGGCCTCCCTTTCAGTTTCCAACAAAGCAACTGTGTTCCTCTTTTCCGTGATATTGGAGTCCAGGGCCTTTGCGGTTCCCGCTTGCTGCATATAGTTATTAGTATACCCCATAATTCTTTTCCGGAAGTTAACTTACAGTTAGTTTAGCCTCAAGCTCGGCAACTCTTAACATTGCACGTCGAAGTTCTTGTTTGAGGACGATATTCTCCTCTTTGGCATCCAGCGACAAAACCGGGCTGATATCTGTATTATATGGAATGTATCCTGGATGACCGGCACTTGGTGATCTTGGCCACTTTGGCGAAGAGCTAGTTCTAGCTGCCAAATCACTGAAGCTTCGTCCATGTCTGACGGCATTCGATACTCTTCGGAGAATTGAGGCCTGGTCACCTGCACCGAAAACTCTTGCGATATCTTCATCCATACTCAAATCACTTACTGGCGATTTGAAAGGGTGTGGCAAGATTGTTGATGAAAGATCATAATTTGTCATCAAGTGTAGATTGTCGCTGCGAGTAGTGGCATGTGCAGTTGAGGGACGAGGATGGGATACGGGTTTTGATAAGAATGGGGGTAATTGTTGACTCGAAGAGGATGAAGGAGTGTCCTGGTAATTGGCACTGGGAATAATGGCCCCAGTGTTGATCTTGATACCGGGTGGCCTAGATTCGCTAGCTCCTTGGGCGTTAGAAATTGCAACCTCTGGCGATTCGGCAGCAGTTATGGCTGATGCATTCGAGCCTGATGTGCCATGAGATCTCTGGGACCGGCCTGATGAAGAGTTTGAATGAATAGGCGACTCGAAAGATTTCTTGTGCACAGATGCCGGAGATGTCACAGGTGGCTTGTATGAGTCTCCTCTGGGTGGTATTTCTGGATGGACTGCTGGCGGTGACATGTCCAGGTCCAATGGAGAAAATGAAATCGAGATCTCATGTGAATAATCATCATCTACAGATCTGATTGTTCCCACTGACTTCTTCCTCTCATTTGGCACCTCTCCAAGCTTGAAATTCTCTCTCTTCTCTGGAGAATTTTGATTTTGATTTTGAGAAATCATCGATTTTTGTGAAGGTGCCTTAATACTCTCATTCTCCTTCGAATAATACGCAGATGGGTTATAAGCCTCACTCGAGAGATATTCCTTTTCTAACCTTTCCCGGCCGGAATCATGCGATTTTCTGCTCATATCTTGCCCGTCTCCACTGCCTGGGTATTGGCGGGATCCTTGAGACGGAACATATGGACGTCTTACTTTGTCGGTATCCAGGTGAATTGATGGTTCGGATATATTGCGTTCAAAAGATGGACGTGAATTAGTTAACTGATTTCGGCCTTGGTCTCGCTCGTGAAGATTCTGATAGATATTGTATGAAGATGATCGGTTTGGTCTATAAGTCGTGCTAGGTAGGGGATCCGGAGCAGGCGGTGAAGGGTCAAGAACCACTGGGATGAACGAATATGGATCATATGTCCCATTGTTGGTTGAGTTATCTGTCGAGTGCTCCGAGACTTGAGAGTTTTGTGAATATCGTTTATACGAGCGAGGGGTGGTGCGAAGATGATTTTCTATATGTACAAGTCAAAAATAAAGCTTTAAACATGTCTGTTAGGCTTAATGTTATACCTGGAGGAATAAATCCTAACGGTGACAGCTGATCAGGGGTGTGGCCTGATCTTGAAGATATAGTTCTGGTGTTTGGTGGCCGTGGCCGCGGTGATAGTTCCGTTGGAGTTACATGGCCATCTGAGGGAGAATCATCTTCCACTGGCAAAGAAGGGAGAGACTTGTCTAACGAAAGCATCGGCGACGCCGCATTGCTCCCCAAAGTTGGAGTCTTTGCCGTTTTGTTGCGTTTTCGTCGCCGGGCCATAATAGTTTCATGACAGCTCATACAAAATATCCCCTGCGAAGTTCTGGCATACTTGAGATTTTCAATTTTTCGCTTGCAGTTCCGACATCTGAAACATCCTGCGCAAAATGCCTGGTCTCCTGTAAGAATTGCGAGGTCCTCGATTTTGTTTTGACAAGCTGCACAGCTGTATGTACAGTTGTTACAAATCAGGGAGCCGTCACCGAGCAACAGCAAGTTAGCATCCGAGTCCAGTAGCGTGTCGCACTTATTGCACCGGAAGCAATCGATATGCCATCTGTTCCCCGCTGCGATATTGTTAGCCAGAGATCATAGGGCCATGACTGCGGAAATTTGGATCAACCAAGATGTACTCACATAGCTCGAAAGCTTTCCCCTCTTCTAGAATCTATTCGCCAGTCAGTAACTTTTTTTTTTTTTTTTTTTTTAGTATGGTATTCGGTCCGTACATTTCCACATCCTTTACAAGGAAAAGAGTCTTCATCCTCTGTGACTGGTGATTCGGGTTCATGATCGTGATCTGGAGATTCCATAGCTGCCACAAACTATTCGTCCTCCTAATATACTACAGTCGTTAAATCGCGGTATCCCGTCCGGAGCCACGATACCGGTAAGATATATTTCGATTCCTCTACAAACAAAAACAGATTTCCAGCTGGTATTCGTTCGTGCGTGTTCTGAAGGGGAGGGGGTGTTGGGTGGAAAGTGAATTCGTAATACCGGGATCAACGGAGGGTGAGCACACAGAGAGTGATTTGTGAGTGTGAATGTATAGTGAAAGATACGGAAAAACGTATAGTGATGGAGCTGCAACTTGGAGAACAATTTGGCCTGCCTGTGTCGCCCCCGGATTCCCGTCGTTGATGATGGCGGAGGAGATTGGAGATTGGTGTGGTGGTCAGGGACGGGGTTTCACGTAGAAAGCCGCGATGTCTATCTGCTCAGCCGCCTACTTCTTCTTTTGGAGGTTGAGTGCGGGTTTCCAGTCTAGCGGACCGACCACGGCTACAGCTACGGCTACAGGAGAGGGACAGGCTTCCAGGGCTTCAAGCGCACTGGACGGACAGGTGCGATTATGTGGAGCCTTACTTGTTCTTCGCCTTTCTCTCCCTGAGCAGTGCAGCAGCAGCAGCAGCAGTAGCTCTCGCTTGTTGTATGCAGTGTATGCAGTCGCCTTTGCTGTCGACGGCCGAATCAGTTAGGGTAGTGGTTCTGCTGTTGCTGGGTGCTCCTCTTCCTATTGCTCCTTCTGTCCCGACACTCTTGGTTCTTCTCTGGACCGGCCTTGGATTTGTACTTAAGTGTAAAGTAAGAGCTCTGGTCCAGAAATCGGCTGATGGGGTTTGTTGTAGGGGTCTGAACTTTCAAGGGAAGTCTTTGTCGACGGAGGAATGCTACATACAAGAAAGCCCCCGGCTTTTCACCTTAACTCATTCTTTTATCTTTGAGGAGCATTTCAATCTCAAATCTCACAGAAAACGTGCTCCTCAATAGAATGGCAAAGCATCCACTGCCGAATGGAACGTCCCCCATGCCCCTTTTTTGCTTTGGCCCCGCCCTAATTGACTGATAGAAGATCACCACCCCTCTTATTAATAGCTAACTACAACCACCCCTCTCCTTCCTCGTGCTCCTCCCGCTTTTTGTGCTTCTGTTAAGGCATCATGGGTATTCTGTGCCTCACTTATCCACATTATCGATATCATGAATACCCCCCATGTCCCCCCGCCTCCCCGCCTGTGTGCGCGCGCGTGTGTGCACCTGAAATTTCCATTACCTGAGCTTTCGGGCTTGGTCATTGCTGGAGGTGAAATTAAGACGCTAGTGCGGAAGGATCATGAAGCGAGTTCGCAACACTAGCACGTTCCACCGTTCCAGGAATCCAGGGGCTACTTACATACATGTATCTAATATCAACGCAATCGATCGGGAATCTTCTTGGCCGACTAGCTGAAGTCCTTCTAAAGAAGTTTAGACAGTCTTTTCGCGCAACCCGCGCCTAAACCTCGGTAGACACTCAAATGGCTGTGGCCATTTTGTTTGACGCGACTTTCAGAGGCACTGAGTATAATCGGGGAAATTATTTCAATGGGACAGCACTGCAGTAAGTGTAGGGCTTAGATTACTGCTTTAATTGTTCTATTCTACAGCTGTAAAGCATAAACATATGCCAAGCTTATCATAGTACCTACTCTAGTGTTCTGAGTCTCTGGTGACTATGATTTTCAGGTCCTGGTATCACCAAAGTGAATCTCTTTCCTGTCCACTCGAGTGTGCACCAAATAACGCAACACGCGCCACGATCTGAGGATCGTCAAGGATCCCCCGATTTGAAAACGCCCCAATGAAAAGGGAAACATTTAGTTAATTAATTACTCATAGGTAATCAGTGTTTCTACCAGCCAGTGCCACAATTTGAGATTTTTACTCTTATTGTGGGCGCAAAAACCAGTCGCACATTCACATCAGGCTCCACGTTTGCATACTGAACTCACCATTACTGATCCGCAACATATATTAAAGATCGACAAAATATACAGATCAAGTGTTAAATTTCGGTTGGATGCATATCCCGACTGTCAGAGATTCCACCATCCTGTTAAATCTCATCTGTCACACCTGACGAAACAACCGTCGCTGTTTCAAATAAAGTATCCAAACAAACTTCAAACGGTTCCCGGGGTGATACAGGGAGAGCTATCGGCGGACTAACAGTTGCACTACGAAATCGCTCAGAAACGTAGATAGCTCCCATTCACGGGCCACTGAATCCGTGAATGTAACCTAAACTAAAAGAAACACATAACTGTTGCTGGTGTACCTTCTCGGCGCTTGTTAACTAGATATAGGATTTGCAGTTTCAACACCGGTTCTGAAGTCGATCTCCTAGCCTTCGTGATATTTACACAAGCTTATACGACGCATTAGGGTACGGCATACCGTTCGTTTCTTCCCTGCAGACCTTTCCATGTCAGTAAATCCGCTGTCCAAGTAGCTGGGATCTGTAGGTACGAATTAGGCGCAATCGTTGCCGGGGCCGGGATCAATAAGTGGCATGACTCCGTCTAAAGGCAACAATCAATACTCTGATAGTATGGGACAGAAGGCCGCACATAGTACATCGTTGCACATAATATCTTGGCATGGAGTTGACTGTGTTCGTACGAACCGTAAAGTTACCTAATCTTAAAAGCAACATACTCAGGCAAGTGTTCCAAGACATACTTTTTCCCGAGACATCTATGGCGAATAGGTAGAATGGTTAGACCGTGTGCACCTGTGTCGAGCATGTACCTGTGCCGAGCACCTTATAATAAAGGCAGCATTTTAGCCACCATTTGGAGCGGATCCCTAGAGATCAGATAAGATGCTCGGCACAGGTACATTCTCGGCACAGGTGCACACGGTCTACATACATATTGAACCATAAACTTATCAGCCCTACTGTGCCTATTATAATTATTGCTTTTTCCAAGGTAAAGGGGGGTGGTGTAGTGACAACTAGCCAATACGGCGGCGTCTTTGCTTTTTAGTGGATGTTCCAATGGCTGACCAACTCCCAACATGTTCAGTTACATACCTACATTTTAACATAGGGTAGAGTGGGTACAGGTACTCGGGGCAGGCAATAAGAACCTGAAAATGCAAGCTGCAGGCAGGTGCTCAATTTGGTGTAGCTTTTCGCCAGCCGCGAATCAGAGGTTGTTACCATCAAAAGTCATTTTCAGGTTCTTCTTACCTGCCCCGAGTATCGACGTGCATGCACCCTTCATGCGTAGGATATTACACGTGGAGTGATATAGCCAATAAGACGGTGAACAATTTTCCAACATAAACCTCCCTTAAGGCTTGCTGTGACCCCAATTATCTGATTCTTTCGAGAACAGCCTCATCCTAGCTATTTTGCCATTTACAGTGTTTGCCGATACTTCAGAATCATGGCTACGAGCCATGTTTAACAACGCTTTTTATGACTCCCTTGTTTATACAGTTCTTCATGAACATCTAGCTATCCCTGCAGAATCATCGGGAGTTGTGGTAACAGGAAACCTCAATCGCGGATTGATATATCAGCACATACCCGTAAGGCGATCTTCCAGAGTAGCCAAACCAGCTAAGGTTTACGTCGAAACGGCTATCATAGTAAGATCACGTTTCTAGGTTCTAGAGAATTTTCCAGGGTCCCGTGCTGTTGGTTGTAGACTCGTTGCCTCGTTGCGTAGGTACACGCGTAACCATTACCTCCACCAACTGTGCAAGCCAGGACGCCCAAATGTGCATCTTTCACCATGAATGTGATTTTTTTTTTTTTGTTGGTTGGTTAGTCCGCAACGGAATAATCGCAACCTCCTGGATCTTTCTTGATTGGCGCAACTGATCCTGGAAGGCCCGTCTGTGTCTTTAAATCTGGCTGTAAAATGCCATTCATTCTGCAACCCCAGCTAACAAAAAAAAAAAAAAAAAAAAAAAAACCAAAACTTGCTGATAACCAATCTAGATGTGATTCGTATATAATTACTCAATACGTATGAGCGATAAGCCATTGACTAATGCTGATATGTACTCGGGGCAGGCAATAAGAACCTGAAAATGCAAGCTGCAAGCAGGTGCTCAATTTGGTGTAGCTTTTCGCCAGCCGCGAATCAGAGGTTGTTACCATCAAGAGTCATTTTCAGGTTCTTCTTACCTGCCCCGAGTAGCCGAAAATACGCCTCTTACACTACGACTGGCCCGGGCAGATATTTCTACTTCCCGGATTGGCCCCACCTAGATCATTGGATGAGCGAATCAACTAGAGTTAGAAATTTATAAACACATTCATGGAATATCACTCGGTGAAGTTTACGACTTGCAATTAATATTATCATACGAAGTACTAGTAGTGGCCCACCTCGCGACCGCGAGGTCTCTCCTGCCATGCATTATTTACCACCTCCAGTACACGTACTTGCTCACCCATAGTAGTTGGCCAGCTCCGGTAGTTAATTAATGTTTCCCTTAGCCATCTGCAGTAGTTTCCCATGGCCAGCTCCCACAGTTGGCCATAGCCAGTTGTTGACCATAGCCAGCTCTCATAGTCACTCATTGCCAGCCCCCGCAAATGTCCACCTCCTCCGTAGTGATCCAGTTCCTTCGGTTAATAATAAGGCACCAATTCCAATACCTAAGGTATTAATTCTAATATCGCCTCCAATTAATTCTAGCTCTAGTTGATGCTACCTCCAGTTAATTCCACCCCCAATGCCATCCTGTTAATGAGTTCGGCATACCAGTGTCACTGCCAGCTCCCAATTTTTGGTGGATAGGCTGGTTGCCATGGGGTTAGGGTTTCTAGCTCTCGACCAATCATATGCCCAAGCGTTTCGCAAAACTAGTAAATAATAGAAACAAACTAAGCTCGAATTATTAGTCTCCAATCTTATTCGGGTATCAACAGGCTGATAGTCAGCCTAATCCAGAGAGAATGATAAACCGAGTGATATTCCATGATGAAGACAAGGACTATCCTTTTTTTTTTTTTGGTTTAATTCAT